AATAGTAGTAGTTGTTGGAGTAGTAGTAGTACCAGGTACTAGCAGTAGAAGTAGTAGGAGTCTTCGAATTCAACGAACACATAATGATACGGATGGTATGCGTAGTAGCCGTAGTAGTAGCTGTAGTAGTAGTCGTCGACGTCGTCGTAATCGTAGTCGCAGGTGTTGTCGTAGTCGTACTAGTAGTAGTAGTAGCAGTTAGTAGTAGTAGTAGTAGTAGTAGTAGTAGTAGTAGTAGTAGTAGTGGTAGCAGTAAAAGTAAACGTAGTAGTATTAGTAATAGTAGTAGTAGTAGTCGTCGTAGTAGTAGTAGTAGTAGTAGTAGTAGTAGTCGTCGTCGTACTAACCATAACAGTAGTCGCAGTAGTAGTAGTAGTAGTAGTAGTAGTGGTAATCGTCGTGGAATTAATAATGGTAGTAGTAATAGAAGTAGTCGTAGTAGCAGGACTAGTGGTGGTAGTTGTAGTAGTGGTGGCAGTCGCCGCAGTAGTAGCAATTTAATGGTAATGGGGTATATGGTGGTCGTATTCGAGTAATAGAAGTGGCTATAGCAGTAAAAGTAGTAGTAGTAGTAATAGTAGTAGTGGTAGTAGTCGTAGTAACACAAGTAACCGTAGTAGTAGTAGCAGTAGTAGTAGTAGTAGTAGTAATCGTAGTAGTAGTAGTAGTCGTCGTAGTAGCAGTAGTAGTAGTAAGAGTAGTAGTAGTAGTAATAATAGTACTAGTAGTAACCGTAATAATACTCGTAGTCGTAGTCGTCCTAGTAGTCGTAGTAGTAGTAGTAGTTGTGGTAGTAGTACTAGCAGTAGTAGTAGTAGAAGTAGTAGTGGTCGTCTGAGTAGGAATAATGGTATTGATACTACCAGTATCAATATTATACGTAGCAGTAGTAGTTCTTGTTATAGTAATCGTAGCAGTAGTGCTAACAGCATAGTAGTAGTAACAGTCGTAGTAGAAAGTAGTAGTAGTAATAGTAGTAGTAGTAGTAATAGTACTAGTAGTCGTAGTAGTAGTAGTAGTAGTAGTAGTAGTAGTAGTAGTAGTAGTAGTAGTCGTAGTAGTAGTCGTAATGGTAGTAGTAGTAGTAGTAGTAGTAGTAGTAGTAGTAGTAGTAGTAATAGTAGTAGTAGTAGTAGTAGTAGTAGTAATAGTAGTAGTAGTAGTAGTAGTAGTGGCCATAATAATACGAGTCGGCCTAGTACTAATAGTAGTCGAAGTAGTAGTCGTCGTGGTAGTAGTAGCAAGAGGAGTAAGACTAGGAGTAGGAGTAGAAGTAGGAGTGGGAGGAGGAGGAACAACAGCCGCAGTAGTAGTAAGAGTAGTAGTAGTAGTAGTAGTAGTAGTAGTAGTAGTAGTAGTAATAGTAGTAGTAGTAGTCGTGGTAGTCGTAGTCGTAGTAGTAGTAGTAGTAGTAGCAGCAGCAGCAGTAGTAGTAGTAGTAGTAGTAGTAGTAGTAGTAGTAGTAGTAGGTAGTAGTAGTAGTAGTAGTAGTAGAAAGTAAGTAGTAGTAGTAGTAGTAGTAGTAGTAGTAGTAGTAGTAGTAGTAGTAGTCGTAGTAGTAGTTGAAGTAGTAGTAGTTGAAGTAGAAGTAGTAGAAGTAGTAGTAGTAGTAGTAGTAGTAGAAGTAGAAGTAGAAGTAGTAGTAGTAGTAGTAGTAGAAGTAGTAGTAGTAGTAGTAGTAGTAGTAGTAGTAGTAGTAGTAGTAGTAGTAGTATTAGTAGTGGTAGTAGTGGTGGTAATAAGAATAATGGTAGAAGTAGTGGGAGGAGGAGGTGGATGAGAGGGAGGTGAAGGCGTAGGAGTAGGAGTATAGGAGCAGGAGTCAAGCTAGCCAGCTCAAGCGAGACAAGCATGGCATGCCCATTCCCACCTGCCTTCCCAGTGCTGGCGCATCTGGGGAACAAAGCCATATCGGCAAGATGGTTTGCCACAACTGACGCACCCGCGATGGTAGATGCGATGGGAAATGCCGGGCGCGTCTCAAAAACTGCGCTGGCATTCTGGCACGAGCCGAAGAGGCCCCAGGAAGCCTCAGGAGGCCCCGGGAGGTTGCAGGAAACCCCAGCGAACCCCAGGAGCTTCAGGAGGGTCCAGGAAGCTTCAGGAGGTTCCAAGAGGTTTCAGGAAGCCCTACGGGGTGTCAGTAATCCCCAGGAATCCCAGGACGCCCCAGGAGGCCTCAGGAAGTCCCAGGAGGATCCACGAGGCCCTGGGGAAACCCCAGGATGTTCCAGGAAATCCTTGGAGGCCCCAGGGGACCCTAGGCGCTCGACGAATTGGAGCGCAACTTTCAGAAAACATGCGCGCGACGCCAAAGAGAAAACGACATTTCGCCCTGTCGCGCGCGATGTGCACCGCGCCCCATTCCTGCCACGCATTTCGCACTGCCGCCGATAAGAAAATCCTCGCTGAAAAGGAACATGTCGATGTTGTGTTGGTTTGCGGCCGGTATGGTGGCCCCTCCCGCTTGGGTTTCCCCAGACGTCCGCGAGCGATGTGC